GAAGGGGGGTCATGAGCCCCATGACCCCCCTGGATCCGCCCTTCTCTGTATTTCGATTAGTATTCGATTATATTGTCATGCTCTATAGTATTTATTTACCTTCTATAAATTACTTCAGCTGTAGGTGTAGCGTTACATTTTAAATATCTTTTTCCATTTCGCCTATAATAAAAGTGATGTTCTTTAAATCGATCGACTATCGAAATGTTATGTACACATAACATAAGTTACGCCACTGGACCATATTTATTTTCTACGTAATACTTACTTGTGCAAAGAGTGGTTGGGGAAATTGGTCTTATTTTTCCCACACATAAACCAATTTCGCACCATTTCTTCTTGTTTTAAATCCTTGATGAACCCTAATTAATCACTCTTTGACGTAAATTACCCAAAAATGAAAATAATCACTCAAAATGCCGAAAAACCGGGTCTTACGACTGCGCCTTGTTTACATTTCCCCTTACTACAATGATACTATTCCGCATTTCCCCGCTTTAACGGTGTTGTCATGATGAATTTTTCATTATGTTTTCTTGTAATTACCACTTTAACTTCTTATAAGTTTTTTAACTTGAAATTTCAACGCATTTATTTTATTGACATTTACTTGCCGCTTATTACAAACTGAACAAGTATAACACTAAATACCCTGATGGCTACCCTTTTCTTCATATTTTCTTGTTGATGCTACACATACTACATAGCAAATTGAATATTGAGCCGGCAAAGCAGCCTCGTGAGTACCTACTTTTATACAGACTGTGATCAATGTTGCTTCCATTTAAAAATATAAACAAATGCATCTGTTTAATCTGAGGATTCAATACTTTGCCCGGCGTAATCTATAAATGTCGTCGCCTTTCTTCGGTCTTACTCATTTTGTCACAAAATTTCAAGAGAGGCTAATGTTGAAAAGTGTGCAGATTTTTTGTGCTTCTGTAATAATATAGAGTCAGTTTGAAAAGAACGCAATGGCTGGAAGAAAAGAAGACAGTATTTGGCAGGTTTACGATTTGCGAGGATGACTCAAAAGATATCGATTCTGCTATCTTCAAAAAAGACTCAAACATAGGACTGAAGCATGCAGCACAAGAGGGCTGGATATACTCCAGAAGAAAAGTGCCACAATATCTGATGCCGTAGAGCAGTGGAAACTCTTGCTAGATAAGTTTGAAGAACCTCAAAATTCATCTTTAGAGAGACTACAGAAGTTTCAACATCGCTATAAGCAGGCTCTTACACCTTATCACTTTATTGCGTACATGTTAAGCCCGGAGAAACAAAACTACGCTTTAACTCCTGCAGAGAAGAATCTGGCTTGGGAGACTATCAGTGAGCTTCATGGAAACTCGGGATTGTTGCCACTAGTTATTAAATTGAACGCTCGCTGCAGTCCTTTCAAATAAATTATGTTTTTTGATGAGGTGCTGAAAAATATGAACTACACTATAAAACAGTTTCTTTGTGCAACTGCATCGTCTGCGTCTGCGGATTTGTTCATTCGGATATCAGGAACAGATTGGGAATCGAAAAAGGAGGGAAATTAGTGTTCCTCTTCACACTTTATAACGAAAATGAAGAGAAAGAGAAGTGATTTCCGATTTAGTATTATTGAGTTTAGGTACCATTAAGACCGTTTAATTTTTAAGTTCACATGTACCGTTTTCTATTTTGATTTTCATTGCTTAGAACTATTTGTGTCTTGTTTTATATTTTTCGAGTGGAAATATAGTTTCTTGAAAAAATGAACTTTGATTTAAATCGTGATTTTTCCCAAAAAAGTCAGGCGATTTAAATCACTTGAAAAAAATCAAGCCGACTTACCGCTCCCACATATAGACACCCATAAAAGGCGCAAATCAAATCCAACCCGGGGGGGAAAATGAGGGCGACGGGATCGCCGGTATTCACGCGGCCCTTTTCCACCAGCAAGTTGCCGATCCTTTCAGCCTTTTTGTGCAACTCCGAGCAGGACAACACTTTCGCCACCGCCCCTTTGCTGTTCAACAGCGTGAAGAGCACGTGATCCGATGTGCTTTGTGCTCGCCATCGCAGAATTTCCGCAATCATTTGTTGCTGGAATTTGAGAGAGAAAAAAACTGGTGAATCACGGAAATTGTCAGCCCTCGGTTCAGATGGTACCTTTTTCGAAGAATCGCCATCTTCTTCGACTAGTCCGCCCACTTCCCGGCCTTGGGCGCTGGCCAGTCGATTTCCCTGGACCAAATTGCCCACGATCACACTCGCGGGACCCACGTCTGAAACACAGTCGCTTGCTGAAACGCACAGAAGGACGCAGCGTCACTCAAAGCAGAAGCTATTGCTGTAGTGGTGGGGGTTAGTAATGGTAAATAGTTCGGTATAGCGTTGGGGGCTCAGCGGACTCAGCAACAGGTGGAAATAGCTGCACGGCACAATGCGCCAGTGAGTTGGCGCACAGTGCTGAGTTGGTGTGGGTTCGACCAGTAAGCAGGCGAACATTGGAAACAATAGTTGTAAAATATTAAACCTTGTAATATCAAAACAGATAGACTTTCGAGGCCATTCTTTGAAACTATTTGGGTTTTTAGGCCGCCGTTCAGTAGTTCTGCGGAAGAACTGAACGGGGGTTCTGATGAGAACAGTGTAAGCGTTCAAGCAAACCACTTCTGAAGATGCAAGCCACTCGTGCTTGCGAAACGTCAAGAAGAAATTCTACCGAACGGCGGCCTAAAAACCCATTAGTTTCAAAGGCGTGTAATACTGAAAAACTGTTGATTTTTAGCTCCTTATTTACTGGAAATACTATGAAAAATGGAAACACCTTTTTATTATAAAAAAAAATTGAAAAGGAAATTGAACAGGAAACAATCACCGGTTTTTTGGCGAAAAACAAACGCATATAAACGAGCAATTTTGCGCGCTGTGAAAACAACACGCACTAATTTCCACTCTCCACACGCGTTATTAGTAAGTTACAGTTAGTTGAAGGAGAAACGTGTTAAGTGCACTCGATAGAGCCAAGACCATTTCCACCAATGTGATCAGTGATCAAACGAGAATTTCTCTCTTGCCTGTGGCTTAAAATCCCCTTTCCCCATGCCAGTGAAACCATTTTTCCGACGGAAAATGATAGTTACCTGAATGGACCTCGCGAGGTTTGGGCAGATTCGTTACGCATGTGTGCGGGCACATCAGCACGTTGGCTGGATGCAAAGCGCCCTCCAGAAACCGCCTCTTCGTCTCCGAAAGATGGATGCCACCCAGCGGTGTTTTAGGCAGGTAGTTTGGAGGCACCAGAGCCAAACAGTAGATTCCCACCTGGTGGATGGAATCGACCGCTTGCAGCACCCGAGACATCCATTGGAATGACTGTGCATGAAGAAACAAGATCAAGAGTCTCCTTTCGGAGGTCCCTTCCAGCACTCACCTCTTCCTCACTGCAGTCGGGCCTTTGCTCGGCAATCACGCAAATGCGCTCGTCCCTCAGCACCCGTATGCTGAACACGGCTATTCGCCCCCGATAGATGAACTTCATGGGTTCCACAGCCAGAACGGTTGCAATGATATCATCCGCATTGTGTTTCCTTCCTGGAGCAGACGAAAACCCATCAGAATCATGAGGATTGATGACCCAGATGGCATTTGATATTCTATGAATATCCCAGAATGTTCAAAACATATACAGAACATTGCGGGAATGTCCTGGGAATATACATGGTTGAACATTCCTAACATGAATGTTCGTGGAGTATACATGTATACATGCATGTATATTCATCAAATACATATATGTACATATTGTGTATATGTGCAGATGAATATACCTACTATGTTCAAAACAAATATTCCGGTAATATACATGAATGTATATCTACGGTATATTCCAAATTGGTTGAATATAACATTTGCGTGCCCGCAGCAGAAAAGTAAGGGCACGTACAAGTACAAGAGTTTATATGAACTTTTCTTTATAAATGCGGCAACGTTATAATTTTTATGCAAACTTTTTTTTGGGTATTTCGCCTCAAAAATTTTTGTCTTAAAAAAAAAAACAGAAGTTCCTCACGTCTTTTATTGCAGATTGATAATTAGTGCTCCTATTTCGCAATAAGAACGAATTATTTATCAAAAAGTAATCAAGAACTATCACCTAGAGGGTATCCTGCGACACACTTAGGCTCAAG